TGGAAACTCCAGTCGTAGACAGCGGTTTTCAGTTAGTTTGTTAGTGGTAAACTAAACTTCTACAAAGTTTCTATCTCGAGATAGATTCCTGGTACTCTTTTCATTAATTGATCACATTATCTTGTGAACGTTGTGCGACAAATCCACTACGTGGATAAATTACACGTACTCCGAGGTTTAACTACGGAGTCAATAATTCACTTAGATACATAATAGCATAATGTAAGAAAATTAGAAAGTAGATTTATCTGCAGGTATGCCACGTACAAACAGTTAAGTCATTCTGTTTGTAAGGGTCAGTCGACATGAATATTCACAACATGGTGCATATTTGACGTACGAAGTTTACAGAAACCTTGAGGTTTCTTTAGAACTATTCATCTCTAATATTGAAAATGGTGTGTTGTCCTTCGGTCGGAAAGAAATAAAATTATATATCATACATATTAATGAACCTCGTGTTCCTAAGTTTCTTCGAATATTCTTGTGAATATTAAAAGCACTGCGTAACTTAAAGTCTTTAATACGATTGAAATTTAGAAGAACATTAAATGAAATTTATGATTTTTATTTATTATCACTGAGTGAACTGTTATTTATTATCCCGTGTGGCATACTCCATGTTTTAATTCTTCTTTGAAATTACAAAATATATTAATTCAATCTACGTAGTTCGAAATGGAGCAATTTATGTAAACATATGGTTGACAACGATCTCATTCAAATTGTGATAAGTCTGTTGGCAATGAAAATTATTGAACTTGCATTGAAGACTTTTGTTTTTTGTAAGGATTATAGAAACGAACGAAGTGATACGTAGCTCTTAGTCACTCATTAATATTTTTCTCAGCTATCATATTGCCAAAGGTGCAGTTTTTTTACAACCGCTTAATGTCTTACTGTAATTGTACCATACATTCAAAATAACTTTTACAATGACAATTTTACGTTTCACACTCTAACAAAAATTTTAATTTCGCCGAAAGTTACGTCAATTTTTAGATAAATTTAACATCATTAGTATCTTTAATTTACAGTAGTACTCATAACTGTAATTTAGTAGAATTGCTTTGAAATGGCTAGCCGTCAGTGACAAATATTCTGAGATGCCAGTAGTTAATTGACACTTTCCATTTTGCAATTGGTTTGTACCCGATGTGTCGTCGTGACTGCGTCAAGCGCCACGAACGATGGCGTGTACTTCATGTTGGCCACAAATTACAGAGCTTTTGGCATGACACATTTCGTAATTCTTTCCATTCCTCTTGCAATACCAAACTAAAATCCTTGCCAAGGCAAGAGATACGATTTATCAACACAGAGTTTAAATTCGCCTTACTTCGAGGGGAAGGGAAATATTCATGTAAAGGGGGTGGGTAATATTATCAGGTTGTTTACTGAACAAGCGAGTTTACTACATTACTCAGTTTGCACTTGTTTTAATATTCGCGTGTTGTCTGTTGTGTAAGAATTTGATTATTTGTTTGAATATTACGACAGTTTTGAACTTTCAGATCATATCTCATACGTACTGGTATTAGTGGATTTAATATTGTTATGATTATTACATTGATTCCCTGATGGCGAAAGTAAAGGCTTTTACTATATATTTGCATCAAAGTATTTGCTGCAAAAATAATTGAGCTAGCTTAACTATTCCTGTTAACTTTCTATTGCTAAATTGTCTATTCCCATTGAAATGTCCCATTGAAGTGTTGTATTCCCTTTGAAATGTTCCATTAATCCATGTCAAACACCTTGAGAGATTTAACACATTTTCTATATGAACATTTACTACAAATATAAACTATATATCAGATAGTATGGAGCTGGGTCGAAGGCCTTTAAGCCATTACAAAGCCTACACCCAACAATAGTCTACCCTACATAATTTTGGCATTCCCAGATAGCCTATCCATCGTATCAACGTCGGGGAGAAGGGACCATAGGGGAAAAACCGAATTGGAAAGCCCGGGGGGGAAATGGATTGGGAAAACCTTCCGCCAGACAGGCGAACACAGCTTAATCTAGTAAACTTTTTCCCAAACTAATTAAAGCCAGGTGCGGACGACACATGTTTTCTCCTTCCAGACTTTGGCTCCTTCAACAACAAAACAGCCCGAAAGAAAATCGTCCACAACCCCACCTCCGCGCTTATATCCGTACAACACACACACAAACCTATTTACTCCCTTAATGTGATCACATAGCTGCTAACAGGTCTAGGCTCCTCACTGCAATCAGTACTACAGTATTTCCCCAGACGCTAATTACACATTCTCTAATAGCGCGAGCCTTTCCGAGAAATTTTCATAATGCTTTTAGAAAGTGATACCTCTTCTCTCTTAATACATTCTGGAGAAGAGTTGCCTATCTGTCGACAGTTATAGTTCCCCATATCCACACTTTTCTGTATGTTTCGGTGGCACAGCAAGTTTATAGGCTGTAGTTACCGTCTTCTTTACTGCAGCTATTATACTATTAATGATAATATCTTTGCAAGCTTACTACCTGCACGATTTATTTTGATATCGTCTTGTAGATGAAATAAGCCATTACTAGATAACGCGTGAGTCGTGTGCGTAGATGGCACCGCAAATAGAAGCTAAATCTATCTCGCGCGTGGCCTTCAAAGAGACGTAGCATGGCAGTGCGTTTGTAGACCCTAGCAGATGTCTCATTTGAGAAAACTCACTCAACTTTATGCATAAAACTGAAACCGACGTTCGCTATCAGAAGTTATTGTGCTGACAAGTGTATGATGTTGTTAAGAAATGTTAAGATCTTCGGTAATGACGCCCTCGCGTTCTGTATTGGGTAGAGAAATGACCTCCTTGCATCGACTATGCCCCGCCTAGCAATTCGTAATCCCTAAGTGCACTGCGGTTTGCATCGTACTACAATAAAAGAGCTATAAATTCAGGAAATTCCGTTCGTAATGATGACGAGCCCGGAAATTAAAAAAAGTATATTTTTTATTGTTAACATTTAATGGTTTTCAACAAGAGAACTTCTGGAGTTGTTTTAGTAGACTTTCATTTCGATTTATTAACCTGTTTTAACTTCTGATATCCATGTTTCCCATTTTGTATTTTTGCCTATTACGTCACTATTTTACTTTGCCCCCTTCCTGACACCGATCTCGATCAAGCTAGATATACATCTGCAACCCTGAATAATTACGCGAAGGTTTTGTCTTGCTGCGCAAGCAGTGGCTGTGTTAAAAATCTAAATGAAAAAGAAACATGATGCCAGTCATGATTTTTTTATCTTTTTATTGATGCCGACTGGCTTTGTTCGTTCATGAGAAATCCCATCCTACTTTTGTGTATGGCCTGGGATCCCTTTGGAGGACATATCTCTGTGTATGATACACACTTCTCGTTACTGCCAATTACTCTAGTGCGAAGATAAAAAAGCTGTTTCCGTGTTTACTGATGTCATTTGAAGATTCGAAAGAGAATCCACAACAGCATATCGAAGACACAGAACCGGGGAGAACAGATTTGTATCCATCGCAAAGAATGGTCACATGGAATGAAGATTACAAATAACCGATCGTTTCCTTACCCCTTAAGTGTTAATTAAAATTTCTAGAGTTAGGTCTCTTTTATTAACGGTAGGATTTATTTATTACGATATTTATTACTAAAATTTATTATTTTTTTGTTTGTTTCGCGGATCGGCCAACATGGGGTACGCGATACGTGCATCTCACCGGGGCTCATTCATGACTATTGTGGTAGGTGCACATTACTTTTGGTATTGGGAGGATCAGCATTTTAATGCTGATTCCATTTTTACTCCGCAAGGTTGTAAGCCCTGGAGGATGGGATGATGGAAATGATAGTGATGATATAGATATACACACGTACAAACATACAGAGACACATACATTATTGTTGTTGTTATTACTGTTATTAGGATGGAAGTGAAGTGGTAAGGTTATGATGAGGGGTGAAAGGACTAGGATGATAGTGGAAGGTGGGGATGTTCCTGGAATTTTCGGAACTATCTCAGCATTCACCAATGGCCAAAGGAAACCACGAAAAACCATGGTGAGGGTGGCCAGCTCGGGTATCAAACCCGGACCTCCTGGTTGGGATTCCAGTGCGCTACGCACTGAGTCACTTCGCTCAGTTTATTATTTTCATAAATATTATATTTTAGAATTATTCTTTTTACTTGTAAATATAATTTTTCGTAGTTTACGTAACTGTTTGGCCCCTTCTTTAGCAAGAATAAACGCTTTCTTGCAGGCCTATTTTAGTAAAAATATATGTATTTTTGCCTGCCTATTTTACGTAAAATAAATGCCTGAATTTCCGGTTTCTATATAATGATTACGTACATCGTAAAAGAAACCTTCGAAAACAGGAGCGCCTTCGGTTCGAATTCTGACGGTGGCAGAATTTTGACACTAACTACATATCTGCTATCTATAAGAGAATTCTACCGGCCGGCTGCCCTGATCAGTAGTTTTTCGTGGGTCCTCCAAACAACATCAGGAGAATGTCGGACGGAATATCAAAAGGACCAGGACCGCGCGCGATCTTTCCTTCCTCTTTCTTACCGCATCCTCACTCCTTACGTACACACTCCTACACTCTCTACTCTGCATCAAGTGTCGGAAGACCAGTGTGGAGCTTAGCGCTTGTCGCGGCAGGAACACTGACTTGCTGGTGGGAGGTACCTGGTTGGGAAAACACCGCAAGCCGGCTTTTATGTCCGAGCCGGAGAGGGAGAACACCATCCTCCTACCATGTTAAAACATACACTACACTTACGGGACTCACAGCCACAGACGTTGATGCACACGAAAAAACTAATTAATCAATCACATTTCGCGTTTTAAGCTTGAGTGGCCTTGACTCTGCATTGATAGGCGATTCGGTGTTCTCTCTTCTTGCGTAATGAGTGTAATGACACCACCATGTGGCGATGGCCGCCTGAGGCTGCGGCGAGTGAGCGGGTGAGCAGCGCGTGGTGTGGTGTGGCAGGTGGCGCTGTGCGCGGGGCTGGCGGCCGCGCCGCTTCGCCCCTGATGCCGACGCCCACGCCCCGCGACCCGTCGTCTTCGCCTTCGACCTCGCCCGCGCCCGCGCCCGCGCCCGCGCTCTACGCTCGCTGCTGCCGCCGTCGCCGCCGCCACCGCCGCCGCCTTCGCGCGCCGCACCTGGTGAGTACCCGGCGCCTTGCGCCCCTACTGTTTACCTCTGAAAAACAAAAACAAAAACAAAACAAAAACAACAAAAAAACTGCGATAAAATGATTTTTAGGAATATTATGTAGGCCTATAACTCGTATTGCGAAATAAATATATGAAGAATTCGTTCATAGTCAGCATTCAGTGTACAGAATTTTTTGGAAACACTGAGAAGAAGGTAAGTTAACTTCACTGTTCTGTGGATGATGTTAAGTTTTTGATGTTCTCGATTACCACGACGTGGTATTGAAATGACAGAAAATTTTATTTTTTATTTTTGGTAGCTGATAAAAAGTGGATTTTTCTTTATGTAGTCTCTAATTTAATGCTGTAGTCACAACTCACGTTTTGTGGGGCGGTGGTGCCGAAAGTGATTTTTGCGGCAAAAACTCCATCCGTCTTTTCACTTATAATGTCAGATGTGGAAAAAAAATAGTTTAGCTGGCAACAAAATGCAAATTCCATCTGGGTGTTGGCTGAATCCTGCGATTAAGTGACTTTTAGGAATGTTATGTAGGCCTATAACTCGTATTGCGAAGTAAATATGTGAAGAATTCGTTCATCGTCAGCATTCAGAGTACAACATTTTTCGGGAAACACTGGAAAAACGGTAAGTTTACAAGTTTAACTGATCGTAATTCTTGCGTTATTCGCACAAGCTATACTTTTGAGAATCTTCAAATGCTATTGAGTTTTCCATAGGTAATTGAAGGAAATGGACTATGAAATGAGCCACGTACCTACTACAACAAAACTACTTAAGCTTCTTTTCTTATTTCTGCTTTACTCTACGGTGACATTTCAATCAACAATGTGGCTTTCGATATAGCTGGTATTTGCAGAACGCTCTCACTGCATTAGTAATATGTTCGCTGGCACATAGAGTCTATAGGTTATCGCCGCCTCCTATTCCATTCAAATAGGATTAACTCGAGCGACTTCCTTCTTCCTAGTTCGAAGGAATGACGAGATTGAAGTATCGATTAAAGTAACGGTTCAGTTTAGCTTAACACAACATTATTTAAATATGTCGGTCACGGCATTTAATTGTCACCGTTCGTACGGTCTTAATAAGCGCCTAAAAACCACAAATATTATTTTAAACACAAACAGTGTCGCAATCTATATTAAACCTTATTATCAACGTTAACTTCTGTTGTACAAGAGAAATGAATACTTCACCACCTGAACGCCTGCGTTCATGTGCATACTTAATTTCTTTAGATAATGTCACCAAATTTAATGTCACGGCCACCCGGTGGTTAGGTGAGAAAACTTCTAAACGTTTTTATTTATTTATTTATTTATTTATTTATTTATTTATTTATTTATTTATTTATTTATTTAT